CAGGGTACAAAACCAATATATCAAAAGTAATTGTATACTAGCAATGAAAACTCAGAAATTTAAATCTTAAAAAGTACCATATACAATAGCATCAAAAGTATGAAATACTTAGGAGTATGTCTGACAAAACACCTGCAAGACTTACACACCGAGAACTACAAAACTTTGCTACAGAAATTAAAGAATGCCTGAATAAATGGATACTTACATTGTGTTCATGAGTCTGATGAGCTGGTATTGTTAAGAAGTCAATTCTTCTCAAATTATCTCTAGAATCAGAGCAGTCCCAGCCAAAATCCTGGTAGATTTTTTTTTTAAATAGAAGTTAAAAAATTTGTCCTAAAATTCATGTGAAATTTCAAAGATTTAAAAGAGCCAAAATAATTTTTTAAAAGAACAAATATGGAGGACAAGCACTATCTGACTTTAAAATTTATTGTAGAGCTAAGTTATGAAAACAGAGTGATATTGGCATAAAGATGGATAAATATAGATGGCATAATAAAGAGATCAATGGAACAGAGAGATAACCCAGAAATATACCCACACACATATAGACAACTGATTTTAACAAAGACACAAAGACAATTTGGTGGAAAAGGATAATCTTTTCAGAAAATAGTGCTGAAAACTGGATATCCACATAGCTTCAATACATACGTCACACCATATTTGAAAATTAACTCAAAATGGATGATAGGCCTAAATGGTAAAAGCTAAAACCATAAACCTTTTGGAAAAAAACATAGGCTAAACTCTTTATAACCTTAGGTTAGACAGAGATTTCTCAATGCAACAATGTAATTTCTCCCATTATAAAAATAGAATTCATAAGAGAAGAAAGATAAGCTGTGCTTCATCATAATTTAAACCTTCACTCCACAAAAAACACTGTTAAAAATTGAAATGACCCTCCATAGATTGGGAGAAAATACTTGCAAATCACCTATCTAGTAAAGAAGGCCTTGTATCTAAAATGTGTAAAGAATTCTCAAAACTCAATTTAAAAAAGCCCGATTTTTCAAATGGGCAAAAATTTGAACAGACATTTCAATACAGAAGATACCCAGATGACAGATTAGAACCTCACAAATGCTCACTAGTCCTGAGTCATTAGAGCTATGCACATTAAGACCAAAATGAGATATTGCTACCTACCTAATAGAGTGGCTAAAGTTAAAAAGACTGCCCATACCAAGTGTTGATAGAAACATGGGGCAACTGGAACTCTCATGCAGTGCTGGTGGGAATGTTTAGAAACATTCTGGGAAACTGATAGCCTGTCCATTTCCTAAAACATCAAGCATATATATGAATGTCTGGACATATTATATGATACATAACATATATCATATGTAATATATATAATATGATTATATGTCCTACAATGCAGACATTTCACTACTAGATGTTTACCCAGGAGAGCTGGAAGCACACATCCCTACAAAGATTGTACAAGAATGTCCATAGCAGCTTTGTGTTTAATAGGCCAAAAAATGGGAACCACCCAAATATACATCAACAGGTTAACAGATAAACCAAGGTTGCATGCACACAGTGAGAGTCAGTCAACAAAATGGAGTGAACAATTTGTACGTGCCTCAACAGAGATAAATCTCAAAATAATTATGCTGAGAAAAAGAAACCAGATGAAAAAGGATACATACTATCTGAGTCTGTTTATAAAGAATTCCAGAAAATACAAGCTACTCTAGAATGACAGGAAGTGCTTGAGATGTGAATGGGGAATGGAAGGTTCAAGATCATCTAGGGCAAGAGGGCACATTTGGGAGTGATGAAATGTTCAGTATAGTGACATGATGGTGACGCTATGGGTATATACCTCTGTCAAAACGTAATCAAGTACTGCAGAACTGTGTAGTCCATGGTATGTCAATTATGCCACAATTTTTAAAAATCTATTTGCATCAGGATCTGAGATAGGAACAGGATTTACCTCTGTGTAGATGGCAAGGACAGCCTATGTCCTGTAAATTATTGACTATGTGGGCATGGCTGTGGGTGGCCACGTGGAGAGGAGTGCAGTTTTGAGAGGAAAGGCATGGACAGGGAACACTCGTGCTGAACAGAAACCTGCTTCCCCTTGGGTCCCGGGAAGGCTGGTCTTCTGTTCAGAATGCACTGAAGCCTTTCATGCACCTCCAAGCTGTCAGGCCAAGCAGGATGGCACTAACACTGAAGTCCCCGGCTCCAGGCTATGGATTTCCAGGGCTGCCAGGGCCACTTTCACAACCTACTTTATCAAGTTTCCTGTGCTCCTCTTCCAAACTTCATAATTCTACCTTAGCCTATAAATACGCGCCAATGCAGACACCATCCCCACTGCCCTCCTGGCGCCCCCACCCCATGCCTCCAGACATGCAGAGCTCAGTCCTTTCCCACATTTACCCATCCTCCCTACCTCCTCCCTCAAGTGGGCTCAACTCAAATGCCACCACCTCTGTATAGCTTTTCTGACCACACAGGCAGGGTCTGCCAGTTCCTCCCTAGGGACACAAATGCACTCAGTAAACCCCTCTGCTTCCCCTCTGGTCAGGAGAGGCTGGTGCCATGTGGTTAGGATCAGACCCCTGCAATCATGAATCATAAACAGGCCAACTGAATTGTATAAGTGAAAAGGAATGGATTCTGTCCCCTGTTATTCAGATGGGTGTATGCGCTTTACAATTAAACAACTGTATGCCAAGTACCTTCAACAGGCAAAACAAAGCATCTTTCCCAATAACCACTCTAGTTCATATTAATAACCACAAAGGCCAGACTGATCAAAAGTCTGACAAAATTAACCAGCATGCCACAAAATTAAGTTTTATCCCAAAGTCCACCCTGCTACAATTACATTGCAGAGACAGGGAAGGGGGAGCTTTCCCAGAAGTTTTGTCAAATAAAAATGACTAAGTATTGAAACACAATTCTCCCCACGTCACTGCAGTAGATTTATTTCGCTGTTGCACGATTTCAAGAAAAAGGCGATGACAGCGTACACAGAACGTTGTCAAGGAACATCACTGAGTTACAATGTAACGCACTTTTTGGGGTCCCGGCGCCCCCTAGGGACTCTGCGCGGAACGCGCGAGCACAGCTGGCAGGTCAGCAGAGCCCAGGACGCCCGGGCGTCCGCGCCCACCCCTCAAAGGATAACACTGTGACAAAGTGCCACATTGCCACCCTGTCCCGTGTCACACAGCAGCCGGCTCCGCATAACATGGTATTGGACAAAAGGCGGACCTGCAACCTCAAGCAAGCATCCTTGGATACAGAACCCGGCTCGATTTCAGAACTGAGGTTCTGTGGTTATTTCAGGAACAAAATGTAACCCTGAGGGCCTTGGGTTCTTCCTTTGGTTTTCCAATGAAATCGGAGACCCTGCCCGTGGCCGTCAAAGCAGGCACCACGCAGCTACTAGGCGGGAGGAGGAAGGGAGAGGGGCCGCGAGGCGCACTGAGTTCACAGGGCGTCTCCGCAGCTTGCTCAGGCGGGCGCCAGTAGAACCCGAGGCGCTGCGCCTTTTCGGGGCCCGGGACGCCGCCCCTCTTTTGTCGTTGGCCTCTTCTCCTTTGAGGAATCTCAATGTGACTATTATTTTATTTTATGGTTTGATATGAGTGAATCGGCAAGGTATGTACACACACATCACACACGGTAGGTGTGTGGATGTCAAGTTCACCCCAACTGCCTAGTAGGATGGCCAGCGTGCCGAGAGCAGCGCAAGGGGGTCCTGTTTGCTATTCCTACCGCAAACTGCAAAAGCCCCCTCCAAGTACCTGTCCACCTCGTAGGACAAGTACCCATGCTCAACTGTGCCCAGGAAATTCCCCTCCTGCGGAGTGTTGCCAGTTCCCACTGCTGATCCACAAACGCTTCGTAGAAGAGCCTTGGAAAGTGCAATTGTCGATTCAATCCTGGACCACTAGCGTCCCCTGTTGGTCACCCAGAGAAGGAGCGTGCATCACCGTTGAAACTCCAGGCGACTGATTCACTGCAACCTCAACGGCGCAATCGCGTCCTCGGAATTCCACCCTAGTGCAAAATGTTTAGATTGCGCAGATGAGCTACAATCTCCACTTCAACGCACCGAAGAGAACTTAGTTTAGGGACACAAAACGGCTGAAAAAAAATGATAGAGGAAATCACCAATTTTAGGGACTATTCGGTTATTAATTATTCTTCCCCAGGGCCCGCTTCATTGTTTTTATTATCCTTTTGTTGTGGATTTAAACTCTATTCGAAAACATAACCTGGGAGTATGGCTAAAACAAATCTTTGACAAGCCCTGCTAATGCGCCCGTCGGCGCCCATGGCCAACTGGGCACTTGCGGTGAAGTGGCCAGTGTGAGTCTCCACTTTTTTCAGAGGTGAAATTGAAAAGGGCGTCGGCCACCAGCACACCTGCGGGTGCGCATTGGTAGGTCCCGGGGGGTCGGGGCTGCGAGCGGCCCATTGGCTGCAAATAACCCTAAATCCGGCTCCCCAAGACCCGACGCAAATCTGGTATTCTCGTTCAGAAATTCCCCTACCCGAAAAATTGAATTTTGCAAAGCTTTGCAAAGTACACATGGGTTAAGGAGCGGCGCACGCCAGTCTCCCGGCCACTAGCTCGCCGTGGGAAGACCTCACCCGGAGGCGCTGAGGGAGAAGAGCCGCGGCGGTAGCCAGCGCGCCCATGACGTCGAGATGGCCCATGCTCCTCAGTGGCCTGAGGCGCGGGGGGTTGGAGGGCCGCAGGGCCGCCAGGTTCCCGGGACAGAGGTGTGCAGCGGGGGCGCCGGGCGTGCACGAGGGGAGCAGGTGCCCGGGCGGCCGCGCGCTGCGCGCTCCCGGCCACCGACTGGCCGCCCAGGCAAAGGCGCGGGCCCTGAGCCTACTCTGAGCCGGCCCGCCCCCACTCCTCCCTCCATCCTCCACCTCCCCCCGGCGCGCCGTTCCGGGGCGTGTCCTCGGCCAGCGGCTTCTATATAGCGGACGGCGCTCTCGGGCAACACAGATAAGAGCGCGGCGGCGCGGCGCTGAGAACTGGCCGCTGCCTGCTCCGCTGCCGCAGCCTCGCGCCCCGCAGTGCCGCCTAGTCCCCGCGTACCCCGGCCGGCCGAGCAGCGGACCCCGCGGCAGGGGCCATGCAGCGGGCGCGTCCCGCGCTCTGGGCTGCGGCGCTGACAGCGCTGGCGCTGCTCCGTGGGCCGCCGGCGGCTCGGGCTGGCGCGGGTGCGGTGGGCGCGGGCCCAGTGGTGCGCTGCGAGCCGTGCGACTCGCGCGCGCTGGCCCAGTGCGCGCCGCCGCCGGCCGCGGCCGCGTGCTCCGAGTTAGTGCGCGAGCCGGGGTGCGGCTGCTGCCTGACGTGCGCGCTGCGCGAGGGCCAGCCTTGCGGGGTCTACACAGAGCGCTGCGGTGCCGGCCTCCGCTGCCAGCCGCCGTCCGGCGAGCTGCGCCCGTTGCAAGCGCTGCTGGACGGCCGCGGGCTCTGCGCCAACGCCAGCGCCTCCGGCCGCCTGCGCGCCTACCTGCTGCCCGCGCCGTCCGCGCCAGGTGAGCCGCCTGCGCCAGGTGCGCCTCTGCAGCGCCAGGCCCGGGGCTGGGGCGGTGCCGTTGCCAGGACTCCTCTATTGTCCCCGCCCTTAGGGTTGGACGTCGCCCCTGAGGGATCCTCCACCGCTGGTCTTCGTGCGCTTGGTCCTCTGAACGCAGTTCCTGTAATTGCCAAGGGCTTTCGCCTAAATAGGGTCAAAGATTTCCGGGGAAGGGCGGGTGCGGATTCCGAGGTGGATGGGCAGTAGAACAATGCTGGGCCGAGCACAGGTTCCGCGTCCTCCATGCCAGCACCGCGCCGGATCTCGGGAACGCGGGCGTGGACCGTGTGGCACGCCTCAGGAACGTGACTGCCGTTTCCCACAGACCAGGGGCGAGTGTGGTCGTGCCAATGCTGGGCGAGCCTGGGACGCAGGGAGGCGGCCAGGGCTGATTCCGAGCGGGAAAGACGGGCAGGCCCGTTGTAGGCGATGGTACTTGTCTTTAAAAGTACTAATTTTTGCACAGACTTAGATTTGCAAAGTCACGTCCCCCAACCAGCTAGGTGGGAGTCGGGTATTGGTATCTTTTGTGGTTGACTACCTGACGTTAATAAAGAAGTGGCTCTCCAAGGCCCCCCAGAATCAGGGAGGAGCGTGGGGGCCGAACCCCGTTTGCCATTTCCTGCATTGTCCTCGTGCACCCCTCCGGTCCCTGTGCCTGGGTGGCCGTGGCCCTCAGATTAAAGGTGCCAGGGCTGTGGGGAGTGTGGACCCAAGGAGTCCAGTGACAGCAAAGGCCCCACTCTTGTCCCATCCCTTGCTGTGGAATGGGACAGCCTGCCACTTAATACGTAGTGGAAGAAATGGGGTCCAGTTCAGGAAGCCCTCAAGGGACAGGAGCTAACATTTGGCAGTTACTCCACTGGCCCAGCCACTTATCAGGCTAGTGGCTCTGGGAAGGACTTAACATTTCTCTTAGAAAAGACGTTTGCATGGAGTTGGCAGCAGTTCCTCTAAATTTCAAGCCGGCTTCGCCAGCCTCATAGAGTTCCGTGAGTGCAGTTCCCGCAGAGCAGAAGACAGAGAATTAAGACCCGCCTCCCGCCACCCTGCAGGATAGAGTGCAGTGGGCAAGCCGCTGCCTAAGGCTGGCAGGAGGAGGTCCCTTTATCATTTCCAACCCTGCCGACCTCCACTCCGGGGTCAGCCTTACTAGACTGCTCTATTTATCTCAGAGAAACACCATTAGAGGACTGATAGAAAGGCACAATTCCAGTTGCCTGAAACACTGTTTATACTAGTGAATAGTCAAATTCACTAGATGTGTTTGTTTCTCGGGGTGAGGTTATGTCGTTTACCGGGTGTACTTTATTCTTCTAGTGTGTTTTTGGATATTCAAAAAGCAATGTAGAAGTTCTCATAGACATTGCCATTTTTAGTTAGACTTTAATGGATGGTATGATTACTGCCATTGTAGCTCCATTGTATAGGTTAACGTGGTGCATTACAAATTCATGAAAAGATCTAAATGACTTATAAAATTCATGGAGGGGTGAATTTAAATGACAGTCGAAAGTTAAAATTCTCAGTTGCTTCAATGGAAAGGTTTTCTCTTCATGCTTAAATCAGCAGAATAAGAAAGAAACCAAGCAAGTTTAAAATTATCCCGTTTAAAATTATCCCCACTTCTTGGGAAAGAAATGCAAATGTGCTTATTTACATATCCTTAGCATTTCCTTTGCCCCAGTACTTCCCTGAAAAAGAAAAAAAACTAGATGAAAGGAAATTGAAAGCAAATTCTACCAATTAAGAACCTACTGTCTGACACCTGGCTAGTCAAATCTGCTTCCCCAGACACCAGACCCCTGGGGACTCGGCTACTCCTCCACCTTTTCATTTCCTGGGAGAGGAAATCAAGGCCCTATAGGAGAGGGACTTTTCCCCAGCACCCTGTGAGCGCACCTGCCTTCTGTGCTTCCAGGAGAGCCAGCACCTGCCCAGAGGCACTGGGTCTCCCAGTCCAGCTCAGCATTCTCCCAACAAGGCATGCGCTCGTCAGAGCCCAGTCAGACGCCTTGGCGGGCTTCCCAGCAGCAGGCAAACTGCCCCTGTCTTCACGGGGCTGCTGGAGGTAGGGAACCTACAGGTGGAACAGGACTCTGGGGCCCCCAAGTAGTATATTGAGGACCTGGTGGCACCAGGTGCTGCTCCTTGAGTGGAGTAATCCACCAGTTACCTGACTGTAGACCCACCCAGCCAGGGGGAAGGGGTCCCCAGCAGCCCCACATTTAGTCAGTGCCCTTAAAATCCCAGTGACACTGTGGATACTCCAGCATCCCCATCAGGTGTCAGTCTCTTCATTTAGCACATTGATTTAGAGGGGTCTACAGAAGCGCCTTCCTTCTCAGAGTGAATGCTCTGGCAGAGGAGCCTCTCACTGGGCTGAGTGCTGGTGCTGTCTGCATCTGTAGGCTCCTGTGCATGGCAGGGAGGGGTGCCAGGATGTACAGGGCCTGTACAGCTCCTCTAGGTGTTCAGACCCTATACATGGACAGCACGACCCATAGTAGCTGGGACATGCAGCAGGTTTGGGGAGGAATGCACTCTGCCAGATGCAGCCACCACCCAAAGGCATCCCACGGGCGGGTGGGCCAGGGTGCATGCTTATCCCCGAGCCCCATGTGCACCCGCTCTCCAGAGGCCCTGGGGCTCCATGTGCCTGCACAGCCCTGGCTGGGTCTGCCCCTGCCAGGGAGGTTGGCTGGTCTGAAGGTTAAGGCTGCGGAATAATCACTTCTACTCCACCTTCTTGTTGAAGGTCAGATTCCAGTTTAGAAACAGGGCTTCTTAAGGTTAAGCTACTTTGGCTACTCTATTTTGGAACAACACTTTATCCAGGTGTTTTCTGAGGGTATTTGGAATTGTTGGGTAACATTTCTTCTTCAGGGTGACTTGGTCACAGTACTAAGGTCTTGAGAAGCCTGTTGTTTAATTAAGCATAAAGAGCATCTTGCTTTGTCCCCCTTATGGTATTTAAGGAAACGGCAGTGAGTCGGAGGAAGACCACAGCCCTGGGAGCGTGGAAAACCAGGCCCTCCCTGGCACTCACAGGACGCCCGACCCCAAATTCCACCCACTGCATGCCAAGATGGATGTTATCAGGAAGGGGCATGCCAAGGACAGCCAGCGCTACAAGGTCGAGTACGAGTCTCAGAGCACGGACACCCAGAACTTCTCCTCCGAGTCCAAGCGGGAGACTGAATATGTGAGCGCCTGTTGCCTCTGGGTGGGTGGTGGGGCCACCAGCCCGGTATCCCAGGGCCCTTTTTATGAGGAGCCCTGGTGGTAAATCAGCAATACAGCTGTGCAGCTGCAAGTCCTCTTTACATGGTATAGATGGTGACCCTCCCCTAAGTCAGGCAAAAGAGTGGTGCAGCAGGCCGTGGCTGCCTGGGGTTTTGTAAGCGCATGTACCCAAGTAACCCGCTGCTGATCTCAGGGGCCCTGCCGCCGGGAAATGGAAGACACACTGAACCAACTCAAGTTCCTGGACATGCTCAGCCCCAGGGGCATCCACATCCCCAACTGCGACAAGAAGGGTTTCTACAAGAAGAAGCAGGTGAGCAGCCCCTCAGCCGCCCCCACACTGCTGACTCGACTCACCTCTCACTTGCCACCCTGCATTCTGGCCACAGCCAAGACCACGGGGGCTGCAGCACAGACCCTCACCCCTGCTGCCTTTCCACCATCCACTTCTCCCTCTGACCCTCCAAGCTGCCCCCAGCGGCCAGGAGCCCTTGACTGGCACTTGTGTTAGCTCGGCATTATTAAGTGAAGTTTTGAGTAACTAGTGTGGATCATTTCCATGATGCATGACCATGACATTGGTGACAGCTCTGAGACCCCACACTGATCCCTTTCACACTGTGCCACACTGTGCTTCCTGACAGGGACCCAACCCTGTGGTAAGGGTGCCTTGCAGATTACTATTAACCAGGCAACATTTCAGCCTGCTTGGCTTCCACTTGGCAGCCTCTCACAGGGTCAAGACAGAGCCCCCGAGGTGGCCCCCCAGGTGTCTGTGGGTGTGACATGGTTCAAGGGCCATCTTCTTTGGTAACCAGTAGTCTCCTTGGCCTCTTCATCACACCTGTTTCCTATCAGCCATTATTCCACAACATTTATTCCATTCATATATCCTTTTCCCATGTTTCTCTCAGTCACATACCAGTAAACTCACCATGAGAGCTTTCCTATATATGGCTCTGAAGGACAGGCATCACCTGCACAGGGCACATGGGACATGCCTGCAGAGCCAGCAGGCTCCTGTATCTACCAGAGACCCCAATGTGGCTTTGACCAGGATTCTCCCGTAGCAGAGGCTGTGCTGGACAGTGGCCTTGAATGCCCTACCCTTGGTTGGCCTTGGCACCTGCCCTGTGGTCAGGACCCCACAGTGGGGCCCCAGATTCACTGTGTCTGCTCTGCCCACAGTGCCGCCCCTCCAAAGGCAGGAAGCGGGGCTTCTGCTGGTGCGTGGACAAGTACGGGCAGCCCCTCCCGGGCTTCGATGGGAAGGGCAAAGTCGACGTGCACTGCTACAGCATGGAGAGCAAGTAAACTGCCCACCACGTAAGGCCCCAAGACGGCACCCGGCCCTGGGCTTTCCCTCCTGGAATGGTGGGGGATCTGTGGGTGAAGGACTGCCTAGGGGCTGGCCCCCAGGAGCTGCCCTGGCTGAGGACAAACACAACCCAGGCCCTCCCCCAAAGAAAGCTTGGGGGTCCCCAACCCAGCTGAACCAGTGCAGTGAAAGAGGTTGTGGCCACGTTGTCTCAAGATACTTGGCTTTGCTTCAGAGAGCTTAGAACATGTGAACATTCACACACATGCAGCATAGGGACCCTCAAATTTAGGCTTTTTCCCTGTAAGTCTGCTGGTTTGTTGATCTTCACAGTTAAACTTTTAATCCAAAAAGACTTGTTAAAGGAACATGATTCTACATGAAAGATGTGGCTGTTTTTTTCTGTAAAATATATTGCAGATATTCTGATAGTTTGATTAATATAACTTCAGTAAAGTTTATTTAAATCTAAAACAACATTGATTTCTAAACCACCATTTGAAGAGTGCCATCATATTCAATATACCTTTTTCTTTGAATAAATGAGAGCTCTATCAAGAAATACATTTCCTTTCATCTCCTTGCAACAAATTAAGCAAAGAGAAGAAATTTTCATTTTTACTTACAAGTTTTGTTCCCTTGTAAGTTGGGAATGAGTAATTCTAATTTTAGGGTGACTAACAGTAAGCACTGAGAGCATCTCACTGATCTTTGTTTTTGTTAAGAAGTATAGGGCGGCCCCTCCCCCAGCCCCACTACCATTGCCTGGGCATGGGGTCTGATGGAGGAGAGTCCTTTGATCTGGGGGCGTTATTTCAATATATTTCTTTCTCTGCTTTTTTCAGTTAACGTTGAGCTCAAATACGCCTTATTTTGCACAAAAGACTGCCAAGGAAATGATCAGCAGCTGGCTACAGCCTCAATTTATATTTCTTTTTGTGGTGAATTGATTTTTTTCTTAAACCAAAACTTAGAAAGAAATGTTTGAAATTCTGAGGTTTCTTCTAAACGGTGCACCTGAGCATCTTTCCACTTTCCACTGAACCGTGAAACGCAGTTTGATTTTTCTTGTCGCTTCCTATAAAAATACTTGTCAACTCCAGCACAGCACAGCTGGACCTCATGCTGTCCTGGAATCTCGCTGCATTGGACCCTGGGCATCTGGCCTTGGCGACCAGGCTTTGTCCTCCTCTGTGAAGGCCTCACCGGCTTGTAGAAAGCAGGAAACACCTGTATCTGGGATCTAGACACACCACCTGGAGCTCACATCTGGGGGCAAGGGCCTGGGACCCCTGACAGGCATTTTGTGTCTTCAAGGGACTGTAATGTGGAGATTCAGAGAATAAGGCGGAGTCTTACTAGTTATAAAACAAAAATGACCAAGAATGTTCTAGGGAACTTGGAGAACCTGTTGTAGCAGGCGTTTCTGACCCTCCTGCATCGCCAGGCAGTAGGGCCTGGCAGGCCAGTGAGCAGCCTTTTCTGGTGACCCCCAGGGAGGGAGGTGGGAAGGGATAGCACCTCATTTCCAGGAGCATCAGAATTAATGGCAGGATTTGTGTCCTATGTTGACCAGTTCAAGCTCCAATCTGTTTTTGAGGATAAGCTCCTAAAAGGCAAAGGAGGCTTATTTTCACCCCTCGTGTCTGTCCTGTTGGCACAATGTTTAAAAAATGATAATTGTATCTGACGAGGAAAGAGGAATGGTTTCTTGAGGAGCCCACATGGGATCCTGGGAGCACACAGAGTCGCCCCTACTTTTCTTCCTGATTCACCTATTTACACAGATAATACATTTTTCATCAACTGTTACCATTGTATGTGTCACAGTCCCAATGCAATAGGACCTGTACTAGAGGATGTTAGCAAGGTTGCTGAGGGTCAGCATGGCCAGGGGCTTGCACACCAGCCTGCTGTGTCCCCCCTGGGGCCAGCTCTCCAGGTCTGGGGGTGGCGGCAGGGACCCTAGGAGCCTCCAGGTTGGATGCACATCGCACTCAGCCCTCCTTGAGAACACAAAGGGTCTCCAGACATTCTGCCTACCTATTAGCTTTTCTTTATTTTTTTAATTAAGTTTTTGGGAAAAAAAAAGGTATTTTTGGAAAGTTTGTCTTGCAATGTATTTATAAATAGTAAATAAAGTTTTTACCATAAAGAGCTGCCCTTCCCCGTGTTGCTGACTGGCTCTAGGTTTTTTGTTACTGATGAAACCCAGAGGGGGCAAGGGTGGGTGTTCTGACTGTGGAGAAGCTTTCATCCCCCACCTCTGGCCAAAACAAAGCACTTGCTAGACAGTCCCAGATGCCTTGCTGCCCCCCATGGAGGGCTGGGTCCCTCCTGCAGTGAACCTCCTGTCTGGGAAGCTGTTCCTGTCACAGGACTGTGTCACCATTCAGCCCATGCTATATTTAGGTTTTGTCCCCTGCTGCCTACCCATCACCACTCAGAGCAGCCTCACAGCTGAGCAGGGCAAGTCACAGAACCCCGACCCTTTCCTGCAGCCATTCCACCCTACTGCTTGGAGAAGGGGTGTGGACAAGGCAGGAGGGGGACACTAGGTGTGGTCCCCCTACACAGCCTTGGGACAGCTGCCCCTTGTCACAGCCACTCAGGCAAAGATCTGAGCTTGTGACTTACAGCATCAAACCCCATGTCAACGAGCCATACATTTAGAGCCATAGCTGCCCCATTAATAAAATGTTTATAAGGTTCCATCATACCAGAGGTATGTGTGCCAAACAGCATTGTAGGTGTGCAGAGACTAGAGTGTAGGGGCTGTCATGTCACTGGACCCAGGGCAAAGGGGCAGGTCCTATGGGGTGCCTGGGAGGGAGGCAGCAAGCAGAGCAAGCTGGTGGGCTGTGACAGGCACCAGCAGGCTGTAGGTGTCAGGGCTCAAGGCACCTGAGTGGCTGCCAGGGCCTGGGAATCCCGCACAGGGCTGGGCAGGCTGTGGAGCAGCTTTGGGCCATATGTGCCAGTTCCGTCAGGCCCCAGGTTTGCCTTCCTAGTGGTCTGAATCTTGTGCCCTGGGTCACCTCCAGCCTCTGCCAAGTTCACACCTTCGACTGACTATCCTAAACACTCTCCTGTTAAGCCCAGTAAGCTCCACCAGGCTCCTCAGTTCTCACCACCCCTTCCTCCTCTTCTGGCCTTCCAGTTGGACCCTAGAAGCAACTCTGCCTCCCAGGCTTCAGCTTCCACCACCCCCATCCACATGTCCCCAACCACCCCCTCAAACCCAAGCAAACCAGCACATGAGGGCATGAGATTCGCTGGCCTCAGCATGGCCCACCATGCTCCAACCAGCAGATGAATGAGCTGAAGACCGACAAGCACCGACATAGCAAGGGCATCCTAAGGGGCTTCTGTTCCGTGGCAACCTGTGCAGATGTTTCCTCTCAGTCAGACTCTTGGAACCCACCATTCCTCCCCAGAGGATTGTGTATCTGCATGGTATGTTCTAGGATGGGACCCGCATACAGTGGGAAAGCCATGCAGAATCACTGCTCTTGTTGAGAAAGATGACAAGGTTATCAAGTGGGGTGTACAGTGGCAGGGACACATGCTGCCCAAAGAAACAAGATCACAGACCACCAAGGGTGCTTGTTGCCCATTTCCTCTCCTTTTTTTTAACTTGGAAAAGATGGTCAAGGATGGCCTCTCAGAGGAGGTGGCTTTCTATTACAGACCCAGGGAGCAGGCCAGCTGACCCCAAGGGGAGCCCTCCAAAGGCAGGTACATGGCCACCATCCCAGGAGGTGGGATTGGTGACCAGAGAGGAGTCGGGCCAGCACCCAGGGAGCCCAAATCCCACACCAAGTCCATGCAGGCTGAGACAGCTGAAGGGAGGTATGATTCCCATTTGTCCGACACCAAATGAAATGGTGTATTTTCTCCCTACATATATGAACCATAATAATATTATACACAGCAGTAATAGTAGTATAACTCCATTTCGGTTACTGGACTTGATTACAATATGTGTAAGTATGTGGGAGAGGTTCTTCCCACTCACTAACACCCAGCAATTCTGGAACACTAGCAGGGTGTCAGAACTCAACTCAATTCTGACACTACCTGCCTGAGAACTCCACTCAATTCTGATGCTATCTGCCTACAGACAACACCAGATTCCCAGGTTAAGGACTCTGTCCTACAAGACTTCCCTCCACCCCTCACTCCAGATGCTGGTGGTAGGCTGCAGGCAGCTACCTGTGCTTCAGACCTACAGGCTACGTATTGGAGGTTCCATGACTGCCCCCTGAGGTTCAATGAATTTGCTAGAGCTTCTCGCAGAACTCAGGAAAACATTTACGTTTACCAGTTTAATGAATGATACTGTAAAGGATGCGAGTAAACAGCCAGATGAAGAGAAACATAAGGCAAGGTCCCAAATAAAGGAGCTTCTGTCCTCGTGGAGCCTGGAGCCTGCCTTGGTGGCACATGGAGGTGTTCTGGTTTCCCAAGCACAGAAGAGCTCTCTGATCAAGAAGCAAGATCCAGCTGAGCAGAGCAGGGAGAGCAAAGCAGAGAGATAGCAAACAGCCCTTCTTAGGGGTTTTCATGAGGGTTTCATAGCATTGTCATGACTGACCAAATTATTGACAGTAAGCTGATTCAGTCTCCAGCCCCTGCCCTTGGGTCAGGGTCCAAAAGTCTCATTAATATGATAAAACATCCATTTCGCTCTGCAGTGCTTTCAGGAACTGCAGGTGGAGACCAAATATACCTGGGAAATATGTATGTATTTCTTGTGACTCCATTTTATCACAGGAGGTGATGTAGCTAAGCTATGCCAGGCACTCAGTTGCTTTATGGGGGCCAGGACTGGAAAGCCTAGGGCCAAGACAGGATGCATGGACCCGCACTGCCGAAAGAGGCTGAGATGTGGTGCAATTGGAGCATGTTGTGAAGACAGCCCACAATATTTGGGGACAGATCCAATGTGGCAGTGCAAAGATGGAGGTCGGACATCAAGAAGGGCAAGTCTGAGCACCTCAACACAGTTCCACTGAAGAAGCAACACGGAAGGTAAGGACCTCTGGACAGTGAAGTTTGGGACACTATTCAACATGTCATGAAGACACAACAGGCGCCACCCTCCATGCAGCCATGAGGAGTCCTACAGAGAACTTCTAGGTCATTGGAAACCATGGGGAACCCCTGAAGATAGCAGCCAGATGCTATTTTAGATGGGCATGTGCGCAAGGCACCCTTTCAGAGAAGGAGGTGTGGCAGCATGAACCCATGCTGTCCCTCTGTCTCCACCCTGTCCCTCTGTAGCTTACAAACAGTTGGTTCCTGCCCCCACACTGCATGTACATCTGGCCCAGGTATCCTGAAGCAGCAACTCCAGGTAGGGCAATGATGAGCTGGCCAGTTCATATTCTCCCTTGGATGCATCCCTCTTCCCCTGCAGGGTGCCTGTTGGGGGGTGTCTCCTTCCAGAGCACCTCTCCCTGGGTGAGGGCTGGGGACAAAATGACCAGCTTTGGACCTCAGGTGTTAGGCGCTATCCTCTCAGGACTCAGCCCCCACCTGCACCCCTGCCTAAGAGCTTTGGGTGCACACAGGCCTACACATCACCTGAGAGTGGCCAGTACTGAGGCGACATGAGCTCACAAGTTGGGAGACCTTTGAGGAACCCAGTGACATAAAAATATGGTAAATTTACATGGAAACATACTACAACTGTCTGTCCAGGCAAAATAAGCAGGCTTGAGGGGGTGAGGGAAGGTCTTATATCATAAAGCAAGAACAAAAAACACAAAGGAACAAATGGGGTAATTGGTGTGAAATATCTAATAGTTGAAACATAAAATAAAATACATGGAATGAGCACTGGGGTGCGTACAGCTAGAGGACAGTTTGGAGAAGCAGGGGAGCAAGGCCAAGAGCTCTCTCTGAAAGAGACTAGCCAGGGACGTGGTGGGTGGGGGCAGCATGCCACATCAGGTCACACAAGTCAAGTCCTGGAAAGTAAAGAAATAAGAGATACATTTCACAGTTTAAAAAAAAACAAAAGACTCTAGATTGATTGGCTCCACAGAATGTAAAAGGGGACATAGTTTAAAAACGTTTGTGGATAAATTAGGGTGAAATCTTAAAATATCAAAACTTTAAAGGAGAAAGAGCAAGTCAAAGAGAAACAAATGTCCAGGTGACACAATGTTTTTAATCCTACTCTGGATGCAGGAAGACGAGAGAATAACAAAGCCGTAAAAAGATCCAACTGTCACTACTATAAAATTAGTGATTCTCAACTTGAGAAAATTCTGTCCTCAACCAGGGATACCTGGCAGTGTCTGAAGATATTTTTGGTGTGACAACTGAAAGGTATTACTGACATCTACTGGCTGGGGGCCAGGGATGCTACTAAACTTCCTGGACAGCCCCGACCACAAAGAATTGCCCACCTAAAATGTCAATAATGCCAAGATTGACATAAATTGATGTTAAATCCTGACTTAAATAGATGTTAAAACTTGCCAGTTAATTGAAACATTGATAGGTAGATTCAAGTGCTAAAAATTAAGGTAAAAAATATTTTATTACAACAGACAAAGTTAGAAGTGAAAGGATGGATTTATCAAACAAAATCTATCCAAAACAAAGCTAGAAGAGCTATTAGTATCAGACAAGGCAGATTTTAAGACAAAGAATGTTTTATTAGAGGTAGACATTTTTGCTACAAAATAACAGGATCGTCAGTTAACAAGGAGTATCCAGTCATGCTAAACATGTGTGTGCCTCATAAAATACCTTTTAACTATTTTAATTGAAAAGTAATATAATGAGAGGAAATTTTGCTCTCTTTCCCTTATTGATAAGTAAACAGACCAAAAAAAAAAATCAGTAGGGATTTAGAAGATCTGGATACTGAAAACTAACCAGCTGAACCCAAGAAGCACATGTGGAGCAGTTTAAGAATGCCTGCCACTTTCAAAGACATGGGGGCATTTTAAAAATTGGTCATGTACCAGGCCATAAAGAAAGCCCCCAAATGGAAAGAAGAGATNTTCACTGTGTCTGCTCTGCCCACAGTGCCGCCCCTCCAAAGGCAGGAAGCGGGGCTTCTGCTGGTGCGTGGACAAGTACGGGCAGCCCCTCCCGGGCTTCGATGGGAAGGGCAAAGTCGACGTGCACTGCTACAGCATGGAGAGCAAGTAAACTGCCCACCACGTAAGGCCCTAAGACGGCACCCGGCCCTGGGCTTTCCCTCCTGGAATGGTGGGGGATCTGTGGGTGAAGGACTGCCTAGGGGCTGGCCCCCAGGAGCTGCCCTGGCTGAGGACAAACACAACCCAGGCCCTCCCCCAAAGAAAGCTTGGGGGTCCCCAACCCAGCTGAACCAGTGCAGTGAAAGAGGTTGTGGCCACGTTGTCTCAAGATACTTGGCTTTGCTTCAGAGAGCTTAGAACATGTGAACATTCACACACATGCAGCATAGGGACCCTCAAATTTAGGCTTTTTCCCTGTAAGTCTGCTGGTTTGTTGATCTTCACAGTTAAACTTTTAATCCAAAAAGACTTGTTAAAGGAACATGATTCTACATGAAAGATGTGGCTGTTTTTTTCTGTAAAATATATTGCAGATATTCTGATAGTTTGATTAATATAACTTCAGTAAAGTTTATTTAAATCTAAAACAACATTGATTTCTAAACCACCATTTGAAGAGTGCCATCATATTCAATATACCTTTTTCTTTGAATAAATGAGAGCTCTATCAAGAAATACATTTCCTTTCATCTCCTTGCAACAAATTAAGCAAAGAGAAGAAATTTTCATTTTTACTTACAAGTTTTGTTCCCTTGTAAGTTGGGAATGAGTAATTCTAATTTTAGGGTGACTAACAGTAAGCACTGAGAGCATCTCACTGATCTTTGTTTTTGTTAAGAAGTATAGGGCGGCCCCTCCCCCAGCCCCACTACCATTGCCTGGGCATGGGGTCTGATGGAGGAGAGTCCTTTGATCTGGGGGCGTTATTTCAATATATTTCTTTCTCTGCTTTTTTCAGTTAACGTTGAGCTCAAATACGCCTTATTTTGCACAAAAGACTGCCAAGGAAATGATCAGCAGCTGGCTACAGCCTCAATTTATATTTCTTTTTGTGGTGAATTGATTTTTTTCTTAAACCAAAACTTAGAAAGAAATGTTTGAAATTCTGAGGTTTCTTCTAAACGGTGCACCTGAGCATCTTTCCACTTTCCACTGAACCGTGAAACGCAGTTTGATTTTTCTTGTCGCTTCCTATAAAAATACTTGTCAACTCCAGCACAGCACAGCTGGACCTCATGCTGTCCTGGAATCTCGCTGCATTGGACCCTGGGCATCTGGCCTTGGCGACCAGGCTTTGTCCTCCTCTGTGAAGGCCTCACCGGCTTGTAGAAAGCAGGAAACACCTGTATCTGGGATCTAGACACACCACCTGGAGCTCACATCTGGGGGCAAGGGCCTGGGACCCCTGACAGGCATTTTGTGTCTTCAAGGGACTGTAATGTGGAGATTCAGAGAATAAGGCAGAGTCTTACTAGTTATAAAACAAAAATGACCAAGAATGTTCTAGGGAACTTGGAGAACCTGTTGTAGCAGGCGTTTCTGACCCTCCTGCATCGCCAGGCAGTAGGGCCTGGCAGGCCAGTGAGCAGCCTTTTCTGGTGACCCCCAGGGAGGGAGGTGGGAAGGGATAGCACCTCATTTCCAGGAGCATCAGAATTAATGGCAGGATTTGTGTCCTATGTTGACCAGTTCAAGCTCCAATCTGTTTTTGAGGATAAGCTCCTAAAAGGCAAAGGAGGCTTATTTTCACCCCTCGTGTCTGTCCTGTTGGCACAATGTTTAAAAAATGATAATTGTATCTGACGAGGAAAGAGGAATGGTTTCTTGAGGAGCCCACATGGGATCCTGGGAGCACACAGAGTCGCCCCTACTTTTTTTCCTGATTCACCTATTTACACAGATAATACATTTTTCATCAACTGTTACCATTGTATGTGTCACAGTCCCAATGCAATAGGACCTGTACTAGAGGATGTTAGCAAGGTTGCTGAGGGTCAGCATGGCCAGGGGCTTGCACACCAGCCTGCTGTGTCCCCCCTGGGGCCAGCTCTCCAGGTCTGGGGGTGGCGGCAGGGACCCTAGGAGCCTCCAGGTTGGATGCACATCGCACTCAGCCCTCCTTGAGAACACAAAGGGTCTCCAGACATTCTGCCTACCTATTAGCTTTTCTTTATTTTTTTAATTAAGTTTTTGGGAAAAAAAAAAGGTATTTTTGGAAAGTTTGTCTTGCAATGTATTTATAAATAGTAAATAAAGTTTTTACCATAAAGAGCTGCCCTTCCCCGTGTTGCTGACTGGCTCTAGGTTTTTTGTTACTGATGAAACCCAGAGGGGGCAAGGGTGGGTGTTCTGACTGTGGAGAAGCTTTCATCCCCCACCTCTGGCCAAAACAAAGCACTTGCTAGACAGTCCCAGATGCCTTGCTGCCCCCCATGGAGGGCTGGGTCCCTCCTGCAGTGAACCTCCTGTCTGGGAAGCTGTTCCTGTCACAGGACTGTGTCACCATTCAGCCCATGCTATATTTAGGTTTTGTCCCCTGCTGCCTACCCATCACCACTCAGAGCAGCCTCACAGCTGAGCAGGGCAAGTCACAGAACCCCGACCCTTTCCTGCAGCCATTCCACCCTACTGCTTGGAGAAGGGGTGTGGACAAGGCAGGAGGGGGACACTAGGTGTGGTCCCCCTACACAGCCTTGGGACAGCTGCCCCTTGTCACAGCCACTCAGGCAAAGATCTGAGCTTGTGACTTACAGCATCAAACCCCATGTCAACGAGCCATACATTTAGAGCCATAGCTGCCCCATTAATAAAATGTTTATAAGGTTCCATCATACCAGAGGTATGTGTGCCAAACAGCATTGTAGGTGTGCAGAGACTAGAGTGTAGGGGCTGTCATGTCACTGGACCCAGGGCAAAGGGGCAGGTCCTATGGGGTGCCTGGGAGGGAGGCAGCAAGCAGAGCAAGCTGGTGGGCTGTGACAGGCACCAGCAGGCTGTAGGTGTCAGGGCTCAAGGCACCTGAGTGGCTGCCAGGGCCTGGGAATCCCGCACAGGGCTGGGCAGGCTGTGGAGCAGCTTTGGGCCATATGTGCCAGTTCCGTCAGGCCCCAGGTTTGCCTTCCTAGTGGTCTGAATCTTGTGCCCTGGGTCACCTCCAGCCTCTGCCAAGTTCACACCTTCGACTGACTATCCTAAACACTCTCCTGTTAAGCCCAGTAAGCTCCACCAGGCTCCTCAGTTCTCACCACCCCTTCCTCCTCTTCTGGCCTTCCAGTTGGACCCTAGAAGCAACTCTGCCTCCCAGGCTTCAGCTTCCACCACCCCCATCCACATGTCCCCAACCACCCCCTCAAACCCAAGCAAACCAGCACATGAGGGCATGAGATTCGCTGGCCTCAGCATGGCCCACCATGCTCCAACCAGCAGATGAATGAGCTGAAGACCGACAAGCACCGACATAGCAAGGGCATCCTAAGGGGCTTCTGTTCCGTGGCAACCTGTGCAGATGTTTCCTCTCAGTCAGACTCTTGGAACCCACCATTCCTCCCCAGAGGATTGTGTATCTGCATGGTATGTTCTAGGATGGGACCCGCATACAGTGGGAAAGCCATGCAGAATCACTGCTCTTGTTGAGAAAGATGACAAGGTTATCAAGTGGGGTGTACAGTGGCAGGGACACATGCTGCCCAAAGAAACAAGATCACAGACCACCAAGGGTGCTTGTTGCCCATTTCCTCTCCTTTTTTTTAACTTGGAAAAGATGGTCAAGGATGGCCTCTCAGAGGAGGTGGCTTTCTATTACAGACCCAGGGAGCAGGCCAGCTGACCCCAAGGGGAGCCCTCCAAAGGCAGGTACATGGCCACCATCCCAGGAGGTGGGATTGGTGACCAGAGAGGAGTCGGGCCAGCACCCAGGGAGCCCAAATCCCACACCAAGTCCATGCAGGCTGAGACAGCTGAAGGGAGGTATGATTCCCATTTGTCCGACACCAAATGAAATGGTGTATTTTCTCCCTACATATATGAACCATAATAATATTATACACAGCAGTAATAGTAGTATAACTCCATTTCGGTTACTGGACTTGATTACAATATGTGTAAGTATGTGGGAGAGGTTCTTCCCACTCACTAACACCCAGCAATTCTGGAACACTAGCAGGGTGTCAGAACTCAACTCAATTCTGACACTACCTGCCTGAGAACTCCACTCAATTCTGATGCTATCTGCCTACAGACAACACCAGATTCCCAGGTTAAGGACTCTGTCCTACAAGACTTCCCTCCACCCCTCACTCCAGATGCTGGTGGTAGGCTGCAGGCAGCTACCTGTGCTTCAGACCTACAGGCTACGTATTGGAGGTTCCATGACTGCCCCCTGAGGTTCAATGAATTTGCTAGAGTTTCTCGCAGAACTCAGGAAAACATTTACGTTTACCAGTTTAATGAATGATACTGTAAAGGATGCGAGTAAACAGCCAGATGAAGAGAAACATAAGGCAAGGTCCCAAATAAAGGAGCTTCTGTCCTCGTGGAGCCTGGAGCCTGCCTTGGTGGCACATGGAGGTGTTCTGGTTTCCCAAGCACAGAAGAGCTCTCTGATCAAGAAGCAAGATCCAGCTGAGCAGAGCAGGGAGAGCAAAGCAGAGAGATAGCAAACAGCCCTTCTTAGGGGTTTTCATGAGGGTTTCATAGCATTGTCATGACTGACCAAATTATTGACAGTAAGCTGATTCAGTCTCCAGCCCCTGCCCTTGGGTCAGGGTCCAAAAGTCTCATTAATATGATAAAACATCCATTTCGCTCTGCAGTGCTTTCAGGAACTGCAGGTGGAGACCAAATATACCTGGGAAATATGTATGTATTTCTTGTGACTCCATTTTATCACAGGAGGTGATGTAGCTAAGCTATGCCAGGCACTCAGTTGCTTTATGGGGGCCAGGACTGGAAAGCCTAGGGCCAAGACAGGATGCATGGACCCGCACTGCCGAAAGAGGCTGAGATGTGGAGCAATTGGAGCATGTTGTGAAGACGGCCCACAATATTTGGGGACAGATCCAATGTGGCAGTGCAAAGATGGAGGTCGGACATCAAGAAGGGCAAGTCTGAGCACCTCAACACAGTTCCACTGAAGAAGCAACACGGAAGGTAAGGACCTCTGGACAGTGAAGTTTGGGACACTATTCAACATGTCATGAAGACACAACAGGCGCCACCCTCCATGCAGCCATGAGGAGTCCTACAGAGAACTTCTAGGTCATTGGAAACCATGGGGAACCCCTGAAGATAGCAGCCAGATGCTATTTTAGATGGGCATGTGCACAAGGCACCCTTTCAGAGAAGGAGGTGTGGCAGCATGAACCCATGCTGTCCCTCTGTCTCCACCCTGTCCCTCTGTAGCTTACAAACAGTTGGTTCCTGCCCCCACACTGCATGTACATCTGGCCCAGGTATCCTGAAGCAGCAACTCCAGGTAGGGCAGTGATGAGCTGGCCAGTTCATATTCTCCCTTGGATGCATCCCTCTTCCCCTGCAGGGTGCCTGTTGGGGGGTGTCTCCTTCCAGAGCACCTGTCCCTGGGTGAGGGCTGGGGACAAAATGACCAGCTTTGGACCTCAGGTGTTAGGCGCTATCCTCTCAGGACTCAGCCCCCACCTGCACCCCTGCCTAAGAGCTTTGGGTGCACACAGGCCTACACATCACCTGAGAGTGGCCAGTACTGAGGCGACATGAGCTCACAAGTTGGGAGACCTTTGAGGAACCCAGTGACATAAAAATATGGTAAATTTACATGGAAACATACTACAACTGTCTGTCCAGGCAAAATAAGCAGGCTTGAGGGGGTGAGGGAAGGTCTTATATCATAAAGCAAGAACAAAAAACACAAAGGAACAAATGGGGTAATTGGTGTGAAATATCTAATAGTTGAAACATAAAATAAAATACATGGAATGAGCACTGGGGTGCGTACAGCTAGAGGACAGTTTGGAGAAGCAGGGGAGCAAGGCCAAGAGCTCTCTCTGAAAGAGACTAGCCAGGGACGTGGTGGGTGGGGGCAGCATGCCACATCAGGTCACACAAGTCAAGTCCTGGAAAGTAAAGAAATAAGAGATACATTTCACAGTTTAAAGAAAAACAAAAGACTCTAGATTGATTGGCTCCACAGAATGTAAAAGGGGACATAGTTTAAAAACGTTTGTGGATAAATTAGGGTGAAATCTTAAAATATCAAAACTTTAAGGGAGAAAGAGCAAGTCAAAGAGAAACAAATGTCCAGGTGACACAATGTTTTTAATCCTACTCTGGATGCAGGAAGACGAGAGAATAACAAAGCCGTAAAAAGATCCAACTGTCACTACTATAAAATTAGTGATTCTCAACTTGAGAAAATTCTGTCCTCAACCAGGGATACCTGGCAGTGTCTGAAGATATTTTTGGTGTGACAACTGAAAGGTATTACTGACATCTACTGGCTGGGGGCCAGGGATGCTACTAAACTTCCTGGACAGCCCCGACCACAAAGAATTGCCCACCTAAAATGTCAATAATGCCAAGATTGACATAAATTGATGTTAAATCCTGACTTAAATAGATGTTAAAACTTGCCAGTTAATTGAAACATTGATAGGTAGATTCAAGTGCTAAAAATTAAGGTAAAAAATATTTTATTACAACAGACAAAGTTAGAAGTGAAAGGATGGATTTATCAAACAAAATCTATCCAAAACAAAGCTAGAAGAGCTATTAGTATCAGACAAGGCAGATTTTAAGACAAAGAATGTTTTATTAGAGGTAGACATTTTTGCTACAAAATAACAGGATCGTCAGTTAACAAGGAGTATCCAGTCATGCTAAACATGTGTGTGCCTCATAAAATACCTTTTAACTATTTTAATTGAAAAGTAATATAATGAGAGGAAATTTTGCTCTCTTTCCCTTATTGATAAGTAAACAGACCAAAAAAAAAAATCAGTAGGGATTTAGAAGATCTGGATACTGAAAACTAACCAGCTGAACCCAAGAAGCACATGTGGAGCAGTTTAAGAATGCCTGCCCCTTTCAAAGACATGGGGGCATTTTAAAAATTGGTCATGTACCAGGCCATAAAGAAAGCCCCCAAATGGAAAGAAGAGATGCCATGTCGATGATGATTTTATGATTAAACTTAAAGTTAACAGGAATTATATTTTTAAATCCCTACACCCTGGGAAATTAAAAAGAACACAGATGAGTGAGTCAAGGTTTAAGAAGAAATGGATACTGAAATTTAAAACTACTCA